AAGGAAAAGAATAAAATTAGTTGTAGAAAAATGAAATGTATAAAAGAGAAGAGAAAATTTAATAAAGTACTTATCTTTCTATGCGTCTGAAATAATAGTAGGAGCAAAAGATCCAGTGTTAGTAAAGTCATTCAATAAATATAAACTAAAACTCATAGATAAAACATCAAAAACTTTGGTACCCGCCAAATCGTATTTATGCCTCTATTCAAGCCTTGAAATTGACATAGCACGAGAATTCTGGTTTTCTAGCGACAGACTCACTGTTTTCAAACCCAACATTAGTAATAAAAAAAAAAGAAATAAAAGAAATAAATCAAGTTTTGTGTAGAAGCATTTTAAAGAAATCGGGACAGAAGATGTGTGTCAAGTTATAATTAAAAAAAATAGCATAGACAAAAAGTGCGGAGCTGAGTATATACACAATAATTCAATGTCGAATATGATTGCTCACCTACGAACTTATAATATTGTAGATAGCAAAAAGTTAAAACCTGAAAAATCACAAAAACGACAAGCTACATTACCAGCCATGATCAAATTTAATACTAATACTCCACATAAAGGTGAAAGATGAAAAGAAATAGTCAAAGGAGTTATTGAATGGATTCTTCTAGATAATGAACCTTTATCAGTGCCAAGAAAAAAGGGATTTCGTTATATAATGGCAATAATTAATCTGAAGTTTCGTTCACCTTCTAATAAGCTAATAAAAAATGAAATATTATTAAACTACTTAAAAAATATAAATACTCTTAAACAAAAAATTACATCATCTTGTGAGTCTGCTATATTAATAGCAGATTTATGAATAACCAAGATTATATCAGAGTCACTTGTCACTGGATAACTTTTAATTGGTCTCTCTAGAGCATGTTATTATGTTGTGAAAAAATGTCATACCCACATACCGCTAAGTTCATTCATCAATTTCTCATTAATAAATGCACAGAGTTTAATCTTGAAAATAAAATTGTGTGTGTTGTTACTAATAATGGCCCAACATGGTAAAAGCCATTAGATTGTGGAATACCGTTGACCGACTTCCGTGTGCTATGCACACCTTACAATTAACAGTTAATTTTGCTCTGCAAAAAATTTGCTTAAAACAAAAAAAATAAAAAAATTAGTCTGTTTTTTTGATTTACCAAAGCAACAAGAAAGATTAGAGAAAGCCCAAATAAGGGTAATGGAAAGAGATATATTAACATCTTCTAGCTCAGTTTATGCCGAAGATTATGCTGAAGTTTACTTTGACGATGAAGAGGTTGGTGAAATTGATGATAGAAGTAATACAGAATCAGAAAAACAATTAAATGTAAATACTACTCCTAAGCCCCTTCGTTCAATTAAAGACTGTCTCACATGATAGAATTCTAAATATTGGTTCTGGGAAAGATTGTTAAAATTAAAATATACAATTATATTGCTAGAGGTAAATTTGAACATTTCATGAAATTTATATAATAGAAAAGATGAAAAAAACTTAAACAATACATGCCTAATGAAAATAAATGGGAATTAGTCGAAGAATTAGTTAAAACTTTTAAACAATTTGATCATGCAACAGAAGCATTTAGTGCTGAAAAGCACCCTACACTATCAATTATATATCCCATTATTGAACTTCTGAAATTCAAATTTGCAGTAGATCCTAATTTGCCCTTAGTCGATGATAATTATAATCTAAATAATAAATATGGTATGTGCTTTTTTTTTTTTTGTAAAAAACAATAAATAATAAGTAAATAAATAAATAAATACAAAATTAATAATAATAAAAAAAAACAATAAAAAAAAAGAAAACTGTATAATTTTTTGTATTAGTTCATAAAATATTAATATTAGCTCTTATCTTCAGAATCAGATATAGACAGTAGTAGCGAAGACGAAGAGGATTATACTCAAGATAACCTTAACGTTCAATCAACAGTTGCTCAACATCAGAAAAGTTTTTATATAGATACATATCGATATATAGCAAAACATCGATATATATCGATAAGATAAAAACGGCATTTATCGATAA